GTGGAAGCATCATTCAGTTGGTTTTGTTAGACTTGAGTAGTTTGGATAGGCTGTTGTTGTTTTGTATTGTGTTTTGTCACGGAATGCCAAAGGGGGAGTTTGTTAGGTTTATATTTTGTATTGGCGATTCTGTGAACAAATTGACCAACTTGAACATTTATAAAAGTTTAGGGACTAAATTGTAAAGTTTCATAGTTGGTAGGTTAGCTTAGGGTTTGGGGTTATATGTTTGGAACAAGAAGAATTCACGTCGGATTTTGGCTAGCTGCTCGCTGGAGTGTTGCTCGAGCGACTGAAGCAAAAACTACCTCGCTCGATGTTTGCCCCACTGTCGCTCGAGCGACAAACCCTTCGCTCGAGCGACGTATTATACTGGGAAACCTAATTTTCTATTTCCGAGTTTCTTACTTGGCCCATACAATCTAATTCGTTCAACCTATATATTGAAGGCGCCATATTTTCTGAAAGTAAGATTGAACAACATAATATTCAAGAAGAATACATCCTACACAATATCCAAAGTTCAATCCTTCAATTCACATGTGCCTCTTTCATTGAAAACATCAAAACTATCAAATCAAACACTGAATTAGTTTCTTCGCTTGGATCTGCTGCAAGATTGTGTCGTCTGTGCTGTATTAAAGATCAATGAAGAGTTTGAAGAACGAGGAGTTCTTGGGAAAGATCTACAGAAGATAAACTGCGTGAAGAGTCAGGATTGTAGTTCGTGTGCTCATTCCAGGAGGACTGCTTTACAAAGAAGAGTCAGGATTGGTGTTGGTGTGCACATTCCAGGAGGGTTGCTTCATACTTCAGACATGAGATCAGAAAGCTTGTGTTGTCAACTTTGCTGGTAGTCTGTAAGTTACATTGACAGTTTATAGTGGATCTTTGACTGGCAAAGTGCCCAGAGTTTTTCCAACGTTGGGTTTCTCCGTGAACACTTTCGGTGTCGTTTATTGCTTCATTTACTGCTTTGGCATAACTGCGGTATTTCAAGATAGGTTAAATTGACTTGTTCGACTAATCACCTAGACATAATTAACCTGTGACTTGTTGCATGTTAATTAAGCTTTAGTTCCGCATTTACACCTAAACACCCCCCTCTAGGTATAGTAGGGTCGAATTTTGCGTTTCTCAGTGTTAAAACTTAAAATTTGAATCAACGAAATTCATTTATTTCATCAAAGAATCTCCTTAATTATGCATATTGTATAGTTCCCTTTTATCTTCTACATCCAATGTGAACTTGGTTGTTGAGTTATAAGTTTATGGGATCTTCTGATGAAAAACTTTGATGTATATGATAATTAGAAATTTGATGTAATCAATCAAAGTTTTTCAATTAGAAAATGAAGAAAAATAATTGCCATGTAAGTTCAAAAATCTTCTCAAAATATATTATCTCATTTTATGAATGATTGTAATAAATTAAGTGCCAAGAAAGAGTAGAAAAACATTGATGAATATGATGATTTTACAAGTTTTATTCAATCAATCAAAGTTTTTAATATGAAAAAGTAGAAGAAATATATGCAATGTAAGTTCAAAAATCTTCTTCAAAATATGTCTCTATTTTATGAGTAATAGAAATAAGTTAAGTACAAAATGTGAGATGAAAAACCTTGATGAAGATGATGAATAAAGAGTTTGAATCAATCAAAATTTTTGATATGAAGAAATAAATGAAATGAATGCAAATGCAAGTTTTAAAGAAATCTCTCAAAAGATATTTTACTTTGTTGCTCTTGAAAAATATTGTAATGAATTATAGAGTTCAAAACGTCAAAAAATCTGTGAGTTCGGATGACTCGTCTGGTTGACCGCATTTTGTTCGAATGGCCAATATAATCATGTTTACAGTGAAAATCAGATGTCAGAATGATCAAATTTTGGACCTTAGAAACTTCCGGTCGACAGCCTCTTTTAGCCGGTCGACCGTCCAGCAGTTTCGGTCTTTTTACGTTTTGGTCCTGTTTGCCCCGATTCGAAAGTTTTGAAAAGTATGGACTTTTGAAAAGTATTTTTGAAAAACATACTTTTGAAAAGTATTTTTAACTTACTTTCAAGATAAAAGATTATTTTCAAGTTTAAATGTCATTTTTATGTTTGATCAAATTGTTGCATTCGAATAACTTTTAATGCATAAAATTGTTTTTAATGCATAGAAAGATTTTGAGCTTAAACATTCTTTACCAAATATTGAAGCGTTTATACCTTTACACTTTATCTAAGAAATCAAGTACTCGATCTTGTTCCGAAATTTGACTCTTAAGTTCTTGAATGTGTAATTTCGATCTTGGCCTCCTTTATGAGTTCAATTTATGATGATAGCTTTCGATCTTTTGACGAACATTTATTAATTTTTCATAGTATGCTTTGAAAAATTATAACCACTTAAATTCAACTTGTTAATAATCGAGATTAACTTATTTGTTATAATAAAATTTTTAAGGTTTTAATTAATCATAGGTCAACACAATTTAATTGCCACATAAATTGATGATAAGAACCAGTAATGCTAAATAACACTATTTTTATAATTTAGGCAAGAGGCAGTAATTAGAAGTGTAAAAACATGTTGACCCATCCGAGGACTTTGCATGTCCCGTCTATTAAAATGATACGTGACACATTCATTTTTTTAAAATCCATTTTAAGGAAAAAAATATATATGAAAATGAGTAGGTGTTGTGTGACAGGAGCAACATCACTAGATCACAACTTGTGACAAAAGAATCTCTACAATTCTTAAGAACATGGCTTTTCCAATGTCAAACTTGGACCAGGCCATTTATAAATAAAGCAATTTCGAATTTAGACAATTCAATCCACCTTTATACCTCTAACTACATTTATTATCAAAATGATATTTTCTAACAAAAATTGAATTTTAGTGAAAGCGTCTACGTAACAATTAAAAAAGTAACAATGTTGTCTTTCTAGATTGTTATGAATATTTGTCATATAAGTTATACTACATGGGATTTACAGCGTTTTGTCATAAATTGAACATTCCATAATTTTGAATGATTTTCATATAATATAGTCCAAAAATAAGAAGAAAAAAAATGAGTCGATCCACAAACCTAAGTCATCCATTGACTGAGTCGAGATGAGTTGAACAGATGAGCAGTTTGTTCCATTTTTCATCCCAAGTCTAGGTTAATGGAATGATTTGAACATTCCATAATTTGTGAATGAGTGTCAAAATAACAATTTGTAAGAAACTAGGTCTAGGTTAACGGAGTGACTATCATATAACACGTGCTACAAAATGGAACATGCCACAATTTGTGAATGATTGTCCTCCTATTTTAACATTTTGTAACAAAATGGGATTAGGTAAATGGACCACCTTTCCCCCAACTTTAATTTAGTGCAATTGTGGTACATAACAACACGCAGTAAAGCAATTGTGGTACATAACATTAGCATTTCTTATCTGGGATTTTTTTTTATGAAATTTGGAAGGATGGGACCCCCTCTCTTGAGTCTGTTTTCTCTGTTATGACTTGGACCTTAGCAAGTCTGGTTGCAGTCTATTCACTATGCAAAACTTCAAGGAAACACAGAACATGGCCATTTGTGCTTATTCTATGGTGGTTCTTTTCAAGCATTTGTAATTTACTTTTGGCTTCAGTTTATATCCTCAGTCTATTCAAATCAATTGAAATCTCAAACTTTCTGCCAGAAGCCAACATTATTGATTTTGGTTCACTTCCATTGTCAATTCTACTCTGTTTTAATGCTTTGCCTAATAATTCTGCAGATGCTGGAATTTGGAGCCAGTTAAACATTCAGGTGGTTGAATCCGCTGTTCAAAAAAGGCCGTGGTGAAAAAATTGAATTAGAGCACATACCTTCAATTCCTCTGTCTGAAATTGGCATTAGGCAACAAGATAGTCTCAGTTTTCTGTTTTCGCAGAAACTGTTCCAACAAGGAAGAAGCTTCATCAGCAGTTTCAGACAGAGGAATTGAAGGTATGTGCTCTAATTCAATTTTTTCACCACAGCCTTTTTTGAACAGTGGATTCAACCACCTGAATGTTAATTGGTTCCAAATTCCAGCATCAGAAAATGCATTTATGTGTTTTTCTTGCTTCTCCAACTCCTTTTGAAGTAATGGTTGTGTAGTCATATCGTGTTTATGTGCAGAATTGTTAGGCAAAGCATTAAAACAGAGTAGAATTGACAATGGAAGTGAACCAAAATCAATAATGTTGGCTTCTGGCAGAAAGTTTGAGATTTCAATTGATTTGTATAGACTGAGGATATAAACTGAAGCCAAAAGTAAGTTACAAATGCTTGAAATGAACCACCATAGAATAAGCACAAATGGCCATGTTCTGTGTTTCCTTGAAGTTTTGCATAGTGAATAGACTGCAACCAGACTTGCTAAGGTCTAAGTCATAACAGAGAAAACAGACTCAAGAGAGGGGGTCCCATCCTTCCAAATTTCATAAAAAAAAATGCCAGATAAGAAATGCTAATGATGAAATTCAATGTAACATTGATTTTGCTGAAAACCGTTGATTGTTGGCCAAATTCACTTTTCAATGACTGCTTGTCTCCATGATTCCTCCTTTCTTTGAAGACATCCAGCAGAAGGCATATCAGTAAGAACAGAAAAAATGCTATATGGATTAACTTCAGAGAGATATCCATCACAACTGAACCTGAAACAGATAAAAATTGCAATCTGTAAATCCTGTAACTGAGAAAAAATGTTTATCAATGTAATACAAAAATTAACAAACTAAGTTTTATTCCCAATAAATTTAGAGTCGGCTATTCTGTTTATTGCTACATTTATTTACATAGATATATTAATCTGTATGTATCTAGGACTGGATAAATTCTTGTGGATATACAGACCTGTTAAATTATGAAGAAAACGTGTGTCCCGATAAAGTTGGTGAGGAATCGCAGCACTATTATATAGAGGTGTATCAGTATGACTATGTGCTTATGATTATTAATATTATAAAAGAAAAGAAAAGATAAGACACATCAATAGATTCTAAACAAGTTAGGTTGTCTCTGTCCTTGTGTAATTTGTATAAATTTGTATGAATTATCAATGGAAATTTTTTTATATGGCACCAGAATCTGAAAAGTCTGCAAAATAATTATATAGGTTTCTATCTTGGAGAATATTGTAAGAATGACCCCATTTTATATACATTATTTTGTTCCTTTTTCCGCAAACAAGTTAGAAATTTGATGTCACATGTGAGCTGCTAAATAAAAATTCATCATGCATTAAATTTGTGGCTTGCATACGTTTAGATTTTTGTTCATTTCTAAGTAGCAAAAGCGTGGTAGTGTGGCTTGTGTCCTTTTTCGAGTGCGTACACGTGTTCATGTACGTGTTATGTACTTAACGAACTTGGCAATGCTCGAAAATGAGGATTGAATCTAGGTGACATTCGAGAACTGGGATAAAAAGAAAAAAAAGGGAAAGAGAACCGGGATTGAGATTGAGAATTGGCAAAGTAAGTTATTTAAATGGAAACCTTTCAAATTCATCGGGATAGCATGTTTTACGCTACCAGATACCAAAAGCACGTTTAGCCATTGATTTTTACAGTTGTATATGCACATTACTTTTTTTTTTTTTTTTTAAGTTTATGCTAAACACTTGAAGAATTTGCTGGTGCACGGTGATGGTCGAATCTAGGTGATGGAAGATGGTCGGGATTCGGAGTGAGTAATTGACTAAAAGAAAAAGTCATATGAATGTAAAGCCTTAAAAGGCACTGAAAGATCATGTTTTCACTGTGTAGTCCAATTATGTAGTCTAGAATACCAAACACTCCTTAACATTAATTATTATTATTGTCATAATGAAAAGAAATAGATAGTTAGTTACCTCAGTTATTGTGTGTGCATATACGTGTTATTTACTCAAAGAACTTGGAGGCCTGGGATTGAGAGCAATTTTGTGTGTGCAACACGTGTGCGTGTATATTTTAGCACGTCAAACATACCTTTAACAATTGATTAATACGAATGAATCAGCAAATTTTAGCATCAAGAAAGTAAGCAAGCAAGTAAATACCTTGGATTTTGTGCATGAACGAGTTATGTACTCGAAGAACTTGCCATAGCTCAACAATGGCCATGACCTAATTCATAAAAGAAACAAGTCATTATAAACGAAATATTTATTATGTATATTTTTACCATAGTATCAAATAGTATATCAAGTATATCCTTAATGATTGATTATTCTACACATTGTAAGAAAGAATATACAATATAGTCTTAACATAAAATTCAAATTCGAAAAGGTATAGAAAGAACTTTGCTTGGATCCAAGTAATCAATAATTTCCTTCTAAGAAAGAATATACAATATATTTGATATCAAATAGTATATCAAGTATATCCTTAATGATTGATTATTCTACACATTTTAAGAAAGAATATACAATATAGACTAACATAAAATTCAAATTCGAAAAGGTATAGAAAGAACTTTGCCCAGTACTTTTGGATCCAAGTCATCAATAATCTCATTTTTGAAATGATGACTTTAGGTAGAATTCATGAAAGAGCACGTGGGTGCCAAAATTCGTACATTTACTGCGTGTTGTTATGTACCACAATTGCACTAAATTAAAGTTGGGGGAAAGGTGGTCCATTTACCTAATCCCATTTTGTTACAAAATGTTAAAATAGGAGGACAATCATTCACAAATTGTGGCATGTTCCATTTTGTAGCACGTGTTATATGATAGTCACTCCACTAACCTAGACCTAGTTTCTTACAAATTGTTATATTGACACTCATTCACAAATTATGGAATGTTCAAATCATTCCATTAACCTAGACTTTGGATGAAAAATGGAACACACTGCTCATCTGTTCAACTCATCTCGACTCAGTCAACGGATGACTTAGGTTCGTGGATCGACTCATTTTCTTTTCTCATTTTTGGAATTTTTTATTAATTTCTTAAAAAAATATTCATTTTTGGGCTTATTTTATTAATTTTTTTAATGAGTCAACTCGTTAGCAACTTGGCTCGAGGGAGCTCCAGTGTCTACGGTTTGACCCGGTTGTCATGATGTTTTTTTTTTTTTTGCTTTTACTTTTTATAGAAGTCTTTATAAGTTATCTTATGAGAACTTTCTATATAAAATCTTCTAATCAGTTAAAACACTTCTAGAAATTATTCAACAAGTTTAGGATCAGCTTCTTCTCTTATAAGCAAGTTGTGACGTTTTAGAACTTTATCGAACGGGCCTTTAGTTTGTCACATAATGTTTAAATAGCATATGTATTATTATAAGCCAATCATTTACAAATTATGGGATGTTCATTTTATGGGAAAATATTATAAATAATCCATTTCATATGACAGTCGTTCCATTAACCTAAACCTCGTTATTTACAAAATGTTGTACATAGCATATCTATTATATGAAAATCATTCAAAATTATGGAATGTTCAATTTATGACAAAATGTTGTAAATCCCATGTAGTATAACTTATATGACAAATATTCATAACAATCTAGAAAGATAACATTATTACTTTTTTAATTGTTACGTAGACGCTTTCACTAAAATTCAATTTTTTTTAGAAATATCATTTTGATAATAAATGTAGTTAGAGGTATAAAGGTGGGTTGAATTGTCTAAATTCAAAATTGCTTAATTTATAAATGGGAAAAATTCATATATAAGATCTACCCTACATACCATTTCAAAAATAAGAAAACAACTTTGAAATTTCTAAAATCAGATATTTTAACATATACATACAATATATATATATAACCCACCTCCACCATCCCTACCGTTCCGACGACTATTCCGGTGACCGTACCCGCGACTGCTTCGACTTCGATGACTATTCCGGTTACTGCTCAAATTCCGGCGACCGTTTCGACAACTATTCCGGCAAGAACTCCGCCATATTTTTGTGACCAATACAAAACATGTGACCTGTCAATATTGATCCGTGACCCATTTATGTTGATTTGTGACCTATAAAAAATGACCGTGATTTGTGAACTCAAACACGTGACCAGTGATCTGTGACTCTACAATTTATTCAGTTACATATTATTTTTCGGTCACAAATCATAATTTTTTACGTCACAAATTATTTTACGGTCACAGGTCAAGAATTTTATATGTCACAATTTATTTATCGGTCACAGATCAAAAATTTTGTGACGTCACAAATCAAAAATTTTGTAAGTCACAAATTTATTCGAAGTCACCAATCAAAAATTTTATAAGTCACAATTTATTTCATTGATCACGTATTATCAAATTATTGGTCCCAACTTATTTCTCGATTACAAATCAAAAATTTTATAGGTCGCAAATTAATTTTTCGGTCACAACTTAATCAATTGTGAGTCACAGTTCAAATTTTAATGTCACTGGTTAATTTCAAATAGCCACAACACAGGTCACATAATATTTTTGCGCATGGCTCAGGTTTTTGTTGATAGTTACAGCATAGGTTATAGAATATTTTGCACATGGCTCAGGTCACAGCATTGGTCACAGAGACTATACAGCACCACCTCACCACGAAAACCACCACCATCAACAAAAAAAAATTGCATCCGCTGCCTGCAAGTCGGTAACACCTCACCGTCACACCTCTGCCACCACCACAAACACAAAACCCACAGATCTACCAAAAAAGATACAAAAAAAGATCACAAAACCCCACGTCCACCGCCCGATCTACCAAAAAAAGATACAAGATCGCCACCAATCACACCAACGGACCACAACCACCAAAGACATCACCACCACAACACTGCCACCAGATCGCACCAACGGACCACCCCTCTACCCTAAATTTCTATCCCCGAACATCCCCAAATTTCAATCCCCGAACGAGTGACGAACGGTGTCACGGAAACACCGCAATAAGGTGTTGCTACTACTACCAACAGCGGCACCTTGCTTCGTCGTCGCAACTGCAGCGACGAGCTGCTCGTAGCTTCATCGACGGTGCCAACAGCGGCTTCGCCGTTGCATCTATAGTGACGATGCACTGTAGCCCGCGCCTATCGCCGGTGACGCGCCTCCGATGCAGCGCCTCAACGCTGGAGCTTTGTTACCAGCGAAGGGTTGGTGTAGGGAGACACAGTGAAGGGAGGTGGTCAGTTTAGAAATGGAGAGAGAGATGAGAGAGTGAATTGATTAGGGTTTGTGAATTGTGTATATAATAATTAATTATATTATATTTAATTATAATATATATGATTTTGGAAATATCAAACTTCTCATCTGATTTTGGAATATGAATCTTGAAAAGTAGGGTTTCCTGTATTTTCCACTTTATAAATGACCTGGTCCACGTTTGACATTGGAAAAGCCATGTTCTTAAGAATTGTAGAGATTCTTTTGTCACAAGTTGTGATCTAGTGATGTTGCTCTCTGTCACACGACACCTACTCATTTTTCATATATACCTTTTCCTTAAAATTGATTTAAAAAAAAAAATGAATGTGTCACGTATCATTTTAATAGACGGGACATGCAAAGTCCTTGGATGGGTCAACATGTTTTTACACTTCTAATATTAGTGTCTCTTGCCTAAATTATAAAAATAGTGTTATTTAGCATTACTGGTGCTTATCATCAATTTAGGTGGCAATTAAATTGTGTTGACCTATGGGTAATTAAAATCTTAAAATGTTTTTTATAACAAATAAGTTAATCTCGATTACTAACAAGTTAAATTTAAGTGATTATAATTTTCTAAAGCATACTATGAAAAATTAATAAATGGTCGTCAAAAGATCAAAAGCTATCATCACAAATTGGACTCATAAAGGAGGTCAAGATTGAAATTACACATTCAAGAACTTAAGAGTCAAATTTCGGAACAAGATCGAGTACTTGATTTCTTAGATAAAGTGTAAAGGTATTAACACTTCAATATTTGGTAATGAATGTTTAAGCTCAAAATCTTTCTATGCATTAAAAACAATTTTGTGCATTAAAAGTTGTTCGAATGCAATAATTTGATCAAATATAAAAATGACTTTGAAAAATGACATTTAAACTTGAAAATAATCTTTTATTTTGAAAGTTAGTTAAAAATACTTTTCAAAATTATGCTTTTCAAAACTTTCGAATCGGGACAAACGGGACCAAAACGTAAAAAGACCGAAACTGCTGGACGGTTGCCTGGCCGGAAGAGGCAGTCGACCGGCTAAAAGAGATAGTCGACCAGAAGTTTCGAAGGTCCAAAATTTGACCATTTTAACGTCTGATTTTTACTGTAAAAATGATTATATTGGCAATTCGAACAAAATGCAGTCAACCAAACGAGTCATCTGAACTCACAGATTTTTTGATGTTTTGAACTCTATAATTCATTACAATATTTTTCAAGAGCAACAAAGTAAAATATCTTCTGAGAGATTTCTTTAAACTTGCATTTGCATTCATTTCATTTATTTCTTCATATCAAAAACTTTGATTGATTCAAACTCTTTAATCATCATCTTCATCAATGTTTTTCATCTCTCATTTTGTACTTAACTTATTTCTATTACTCATAAAATAGAGACATATTTTGAAGAAGATCTTTGAACTTACATTGCATATATTTCTTCTACTTTTTCATATTAAAAAAAATTGATTGATTGAATAAAACTTGTAAAATTATCATATTCATCAATGTTTTTCTACTCTTTCTTGGTAATTAATATGTTACAATCATTCATTAAATGAGATATATATATCTACTTTTTCATATTAAAAACTTTGATTGATTGAATAAAACATGTAAAATCTTCATATTCATCAATGTTTCTCTACTCTTTCTTGGTACTTAATTTATTACAATCATTCATTAAATGAGATAATATATTTTGAGAAGATTTTTGAACTTACGTGACATTTATTTTTCTTCATTTTCTAATTGAAAAACTTTGATTGATTACATCAAAGTTTTTTAACAGAAGATCCCATAGACTTATAACTCAACAACCAAGTTCACATTGGATGTAGAAGATAAACGGGAACTATACAATATGCAAAATTAAGGAGATTCTTTGATGAAATAATTGAATTTTGTTGATTCAAATTTTAAGTTTTAACACGTGCATGTAGAACAAAATAAATTCACACACAAAGACAAACGAAAATATTATGTCAACTGGTCAAGCAAGCCATCTTACCATATTGTGTCGGGGTTGTACCCAGGCATTTAATTCCACAAAAATCCACTTGGTGCCATAGAAAATTTGAACTTATCACATGCTGGATTTTTTTGAGTGTGAAGTGTGCATGAACCTAGATAGGATCGTAAGAGTTAGTAAAGTTCTCAAATTTCAATCTCTCTATATAAGCACAATTCTACGGTCATTGTTGTCCACTATACTCGACAACCTTTCTCTAGATAAAAAGCGAAAATACATTCATTTTTGTAGACTCGAGCTGACACGTTTCTCACTTTTATTCATAGTATCTCTCGCCTAAATAATAAATATGACTTCATTCATATGAATGAGGTGATTTTAGTCTCACATGTTAAGAAAATTGAAGGGTCCCAATAAACACTCTATCAAAAATAAGTATTTACTAACTCATTCTCGAACAAGCCCACATACTTGTGGACATATATGTGTATAAGATTCTTAGACGAAATAGATGAATTTTGTTGTTTCAAAATTTCACTCGTCACATACTATCTTACTCATACGAGTTTGGAATTAGTTACGACCATGAAATTTTATGTTTTAGAAATAACAAACTCTGAATTTACATTGCTTTATGTCAATGTGAAATATATGTGTATAATGAATCTTCTGACCATGAAATCTTATGAATATTTTGAAAAGGACAATGAAAAGAGTGAAAAGATTTAAAGCAAAAATCTAAAATCCAGAACTATTTGAAATCACAAAGCAATAGCAAAATACGTGTAAAGCAAAATAATATATTATAACAAAGACAAGTCAATTCGAAAAACTACATACACATAAGTCCAAAAATAGTGTTTTATATTTAATAGTGGAAGATTATCAAAGGTACTACAATATATGATTGATTTAATTCTATCATTTAGAAAGTGTACACATTTATTTATTTAAAGGTAATCTAACACAGGCACAAGTTTAAATCCTCTCTTCAACAACTTAATGATTCCAAATTGACAAGGGCCATAAGAAAATATAAATTGATGGTAAAGAAATGTAAGATGATTTACCTCGGGCATCACCCATCTACTCAATTTCTTGGAGCTGCGAATAACATGAGACAAAGCACGGGTTTTTTCACGTAGAATGCGAGTTCTCCATTCTTCTCTATTGGATTCCAACCCTGGTCCAATATTGGTGCTTCCACAATTTGTGTTGAAAACGTGTGTTGAGAAATGCGACTTTATTAATGAAGCGTTTTTAACTGGATGGAAAATCGTGGCTCTGTCTTGGCCGTTGATTGCTTGATTCTAGATGGTTCTATTATTTGCTTGTACCCTTTCACTTGGCACTTGAGGGTTTTCTCATTTTTGACTGCTGGCAACTGGTTTTTAGAGATAAACTCTCTCAACTGCTAGGGTTTCTTCTTTTATGTTTTTTCTTCTCTCAAATTTCTGATTTGAGACTTATGATCTGTAATATTTAGCCTCTAGTTTATGATATTCTAAGTGACTATTTGTAAGAACGTGAGGGTTCTTTTGAGCTACTGTTTTCAGAGGGTTTGAGAAGATTCTTGATGATTCTTCATAGATTGAATGTTGTGTTTTAAGAGATAAGCGTTCTTGTACTATCTTTGTGTATTGGTTAAACATTTGTAACATTTTGTTGCCATTTTGGGCTATTTAGTGCAACCGAACATAATCTAATTTATTGAATGCTCAATGGGGGATGTAAGCGTTGGAAGTGGTAACTAAACCTTCAGAGCTTAGGTCGAAAGAAATAGCGTGTATTGAATCTTTTAATTTTTGCACTTTTTTTTTTCTGTAAGATAGTTTACTATTGCTTCTCAAAGCTAATATCGTGTGAACCTGGTCCTGAGTGGTATCAGAACCATTACTGAGGAGCAAGATACCTGGATATTGGAAAAACTGGTTTATCTACAATAGATCTGAAATTTTTGGAATCGATGTCCAGCAAAATGAAAGAAAACAAGTTTTTCAAACTCGTTGGGTGAAATATTTTAATTTTTGTAAAGTTTACTTTCCAGAAATTAGGATTTCTTGATTTTTCCCTTGATTTACCGTAAACAATAACCTCTAGAGATTAATCTTTGTCCAAAGGCTTCTAGAGGCCTTGGGAATTTGAGATAAATCAAGTACGGATGTGTACTTGAAGGATCTTGAAGGAGGAATCTCTGAAACATAGTATTGTGATCTCTGTTATTTTGTTTTCTTTTGAGTCTTGATCTGCATTTCTTTGTTTGTGCTTGAAATTTGTGAAATCTTGTTTTACTAAGTATATTACTGTAATTTATGATTGACGTCAATATGTATTCTTACTTTTATTTGCAAATATGTGAAAATTATCTTCAAACTCCTATGAGGATGTCACTAAGTGTAAAGAAAGTAAAATTGGATAGTTGCCATGGAAGATGAAATTTCTGCACTTTTTAAAAACAAAACTTGGAAACTTGTTAACAGGCCTAAATGGTAGAAATTGATTGACTGTAAGTGGATCCATAAAGTAAAATATAATACCATCAAATCTAAATACCTAGATCTGGAAGTATTATAATTTCATTCTCTTTTTAAAATCTTGAATGTGGAAAACGATTGAATTTTTTTTTTTTGACATAATAAATACCAATGACTTATTATTTTAAAATAATTTGTATTTAATAAAATATAGAACAATTAAATCGAAATGTTAACTTTAATTACAAAACAACAAATTCAACATTTAAATATGATAGTACTGAGTCCGTGTCACCACAAGTCGTCATCTCGAATCATCTTGCCTTCATCATGTGAAAATGGAAAGGAATAAAGTGGGATGAGCTAACGCAAATATCATGCATATGATGCATGCTTATTATATGCATATGAATTACTTTAAATAAAGTGTTTTTCATTATGTATTCACTTTTCTTTCATTTCTTTAAAAACGTAACATTTTCATTGTGAGTTCACTTGATGTATCGTCTAACAAATCAGAATGCTATGGTCAATTATTATTTGGAACCCGGTCAACTCCTACCGGTAGTATCGGAAAGCGATTTAACATTAACATTGTCATTGAAATTTTGAACATTGAACATTGGTCGGGTGCGTCGGTCCCCCACACTCCATTTCTCGCTCACACTTTTCATAGCATAGACATATACTTCGTAACAAAACATTCGGGATACATATCTTCAAAAACATTCCTTGACTCATTGACATTTGAAAACTTTTATTTCTTGAAACTTCATGTATGCTTATGGATGCATTGACATGCATAAATATGCAATAAGAAACATTAATGGCATAAAACATAATAATCAAATATCATGTTAACATAAGGGCAAATAAGATAACACATTTATACATTTTACAATTTGTGGCGTTTAACAATTTAAGTAAGGTTTATAAGTTTTGTGATCACGAGGTCAAGATATTGTGGCGATTGTCTTGGTTTTTTGGTTCAATAATTTATTGGGTCGAACTTTTCAAACGTTGATTCTTGGCTTTCTTGGGTTTGATCTAATCTGTCGTGGGTTTCGTAATTTCAATTGCTACATGAGTTCGCATCATTTTCAAGCTACCATAGGGATCTGATCGAATATTATCCAAACTTCAATAATTAGATATTGTCTAGTTGATCATAAACAACCCAATCTGATTATTAATTTATGTCTTTTCCACCGAAGACAAAATATTGCACTCTTAGAATATATAAGACCACAAAGCTAATATACATGTAATACTTTACTCTTACCAATCGTAAATGTATTTTATTCTAGTTCGAAATTCGATAATTAGGTACGTACATAAATGATCATTTTACCTTTCTAATTAATTTCTTAAATAATGATTATTGAATGTGTAGTTATTTCAATACGATATTTTAAGTTTTAACAGGCGGTGAGATGTAAATAAATGGAAGGTAAATAGCTAATTTAAATATTTTAATTGTGTCTCCAATGCAAATTAAGAATTCATGTAAAATATCTTTCAGGTAATTTTTTTGTTACGTAATTAATATGAATTTGTTTATGATAATTGTTTGGTCACTATTTAAATTGAACAAATTATTTTCAAAATAAAAATTTATCTAAATAAATATCTCATGCATATATGTTTGTTTCTAATTGCACTTCAAATACAATCTTGACATGTTTACGTTTTGAAATAAGACTTAGAGATGGTGGCGAATACTTACATTGTGAGAATGATAGTTGTATGTTACACTATGGTACTGATGATATCGAAGAACTTGCTAACATAGTTGATCTGACATTGAAAACCACTTTATTACTTGTTAACGATTGAAAACATTTTAAAGAGGTCAATTCTATATAATTCCATGAGAGGAAGAAGAAGAAAACTTGAAATAGTTGACGTGAACATTGTAGAAACATCAACAAAAATCCATGTAAATATTTACAAAAGAACAATATAGAGAAAAATTATCAGTCTTAAAAGAAACATCGGTCCTTATTCAAGAGGATTTCATTTTCTTTAGTCTTGAATCATCCCAACTCCATCATCATAAATATTTTTATGATTGTTTTTTGACCTACCATATCATATACGTGCTCTCATTTGGTAGTGATACACTTTACTCACAAGAAATCAAAGAAACAACCAACCCAAAAATTACACGAAGTTTCTTCAAGGTTTGGCACAACGGAACTCTTGTGTTGGGATTTTGACTTTGATCTAAGACTCTATGAAGAGAGCCCTTCAAACATTGTATGGAGGAGTGTATACCGATTATTCACATACCGGTTTATAAGACATAAAACATATGAAAACATAATAAAATTTATATGAACTCTGCTAGTTTTATTACCAGATCAGAGGAGAAGAAGGAACTTTGATTGTCTACATTGTTAAAGACGATTTTTCTATAACAAATCCTTCATATATCCTCTATA